GGTAGAAAAAGCATTCCTGCTAGGAATTTAAACAAAAACACTAATGAACTGTAAAGGTACACTATAATTCACAGCTTATTAATTTATTCAAACAAATAAGCTCACAGATATTAGCCAGCCATCATACTACCTACTTCAGGTAGCATTCTATCAATAAACCAAAATCACCAGCTTTCAACTACGTGAATAATATATATTCCTTCCCATCTTTCTCACTAAGATAAGCTCCTTAACAAGATTTCCTTCCCTTAATTTTATGAGAAAACTAACTAGTAGATGGCAAGTAGAAAGGTACAAAGACATATGATAATTCACTGATGCAGTTCAAGGGTGCTACATAAAACACAGATTTCACCACTGAAGGCTGATGCCTTTTCCAGTGTACAAACTAAGTTAAATGAACTTTTTAAGGCAAAAAAAAAGTTTTAGTGTCCTCAGACATACTTTGTCTGAAGTATTCATAAATCTCCTTCATTGGATAAACTTTTTTTGCAAAGAGTTTATAAACTTTGCATAATCTCATCACTGCTGACACATTCATTTGAACTCCTTATTACTGAAATTATCCTCATGTCCCTCATTATACAAGAATAATCAGGCTTATATGCTACTGGAAATAAAGTGTTTAAATGGCAATAATGTCTGTATACCTTTGTCTTAATTTAACAAAAGCATTTCACTACAAAGAAAAATACAATCATGTGAAGGTACAAAAGTTAAGAAAAATTTATTAGTGTTAATTAATGCCTAAAGGTAGAATTATGCTTCTTTCAATTGGACCCATTAAAGGGGCTTTAATATAGATTTGCACAGCAAGCTGAAGATTTTCAACTGCAGATAATGAGGCAAGCTAGTACTATTTTAACCCCTCTAGAGTATAATCAGTTGATAAGGTTTTGAAACATTACAAGGTCTAGGACAAAAAGATTAGCTTTAGTTCCTCCAGATCTAAATTGAAACCTAATTAATTAGCAATGTTATAGAAAAGGTTTACTGCTATTTTTACATGTCTTTAATTTTGTCTTCTAAGGAAAACAGGTTAAGATATTTTAATTTACCTATTGCATGAATGGCAGAAGACTGTTCTCTGTTCCCACATTATTCATTAAACTAATTGTTTGGATTTAAAAATTTACTACATTCCTCCAAAAACCTCACCTTACTTTTTAAGAAAAAAATAGTACCAGTGAGCTGTTTGAAACATACACAATTATTATAAATTAAATACAATTGGTGAAAAATGCTTCCAAAGAAAAGGGAGCATGAAACAAGATTTCTGCAGCAAAATATCTATCAGTCTTCAGAAGACGAATAATTAAAATTCTAAGAGACTGTTTTATGCATTTAAATGTAGTAATTAGAAAGTCTTTTCCTTGAAACACATACAGAAGTGATGTATATACGTCAGAGATACATAACCACTGAGAAAAGAGTTTTGAGCCATGGCATGAAACAAAAGTTATAGTAAAAAAATCATTATAACAATCCAGACACTAATCTCAAATGAGTAAGATTTTAACCACAGTAAGATTTTAAACAGCATTTAGAATAAATATATCTATATGCCAGATGAGGCCCAATTGGGAGTTTCGGATCAAAAGTTACCAGGCAACCAATTAAAAAGACAAAAATTAAAAAAATATATATTTTTTACAGAATTTATGTGCAGTAATACACAAAAATAACTTAAATGCTTTAATAAATATATTTGAAACCTTGAATGGTACGTATTTAAATGTTCCACATTACTTTGTATTTAAAATGTTTAACACAATATTTATTAAGTTATGCAATAAACTCATGTCAAGAAAAAAGTCTTATTCTATTTTATTTATATAAAACAAAATATTATACCATTGTAATTTAGGAAAGGTACATGACTGAAGATGTACTGAGTACACAGCAGGTCAGTGCACGTACTGTATTCCAAAGATATTGCACAGCAGAAGTTTGGAAAAACTATGATTTACACTGATTTTTTACCCCTCAGGGCACAGGTCCCATTCTCATGAACATCTAAGCACTTTTCTTCCCTGTTAGGTTATACAAACATGATTAAAGACCATCCTACTTCTTCATCACAAGTTTCCAAATTAATTTAGTTGATTTTCAGAAATATCCATTAAAATGGAGACCGTTCTAACACTTGAAATATCTCATTACAAATTAAGCTCATTCAGCTTTCAGTAGAACTAACGAGTTGGATCTCACCTAGGTTGTGGAGAATACACTCTTCTATTTACAGCAATTTTAAAAGTCTTCTTAAGCATATCAGGATAAAGTTTAAGCAGAATACAAGAGAAGAAATACCACCTCATGTTCTCCTTGTAGGATTTTCTTGATGTTTCTGGCAGCAGTATCAGCTTACATTCATGCTGAATTATAAGTCATTTATTTTCCTTTTCCCTTATGCAACATTATATACAATCAGCTGTTTGGCAGCCAATCAGAAATTCCTCGTAAAAAAATACCCTACGACAAAATATGTTGTTGCCCCTGAATCTCTGTATGATGCACGAAGGGGAAGTGACAAACAACAGAAGACACGACTGGGTAATTTCACCTTCTGAGATGAAACCAATACACAGCAATACACGTAAAAAAATACACAGACTGCAATACACTGCCTTGAAGTCTTGCTGTCCGTACTTTACAGAAAAGAATACTCGTTGTCATTACCATCAAAATACACATTTTCACAAGCAGGTTATTTGCATAATAATTACAAAAATAGCATTTTTTCCGCCTTAGATGAATAAAGAAGGAAAAAATCCAGTAAAACAAAATAAATGAAGAACACGTTTTCTATGCCACCTCCAGTCTTTGATTACCAAATCAGCAAAACTAAGAAAATGATCCCTCTCGTTTCAGTCTCGTAGCATTCCAGCCAATGGATAAGCAAGAAGGTCAGAGTGACATCATCTCTGTACACAGCTTTTATTTACAGCACTGGCACTATCTGGTGCCCTTCATAACCCACCTCCCAAGTCAATGACACTCTAAGGGAAGCCAACTGAAAGGGCTGCATTACAGTTGTGACAATCACCAAAACAACAGCTTCTGTTCCCCTCATCTCTTAGAATTACAGAATCATACAGTATCCTGAGTTGGAAGGGACTCACAAGGATCACCAAGGCCAACTCCTGGCCCTGTACAGGACCATCCCCAAGAATCACATCACGTGCCCGAGAAAATCATCCAAATGCTTCTTGAGCTCCATCAAGCTTGGTGCTGTGACTATTCCTCTGGGGAGTTTTTTTCCAGTGCCCAACCATCCTCGGCGTGAAGAACCTTTTCATAATACACAAACTAAGCTCCTCTTGACAGAGCTTCAGGCCATTGCCTCAAGTCCTATTGCTGGTCATCCCAGAGAAGAGATCAGTGCCTGCCTTCTGCATCCCCTCATGAGGAAGTCGTAGACCACAATGAAGTCTCCCCCCAGTCTCTTCTCCTCCAGGCTGAACAGACCAAGTGATCTTACCTGCTCTTCATATGGCTTCTCTTCAAGGCCCTTCACCATCTTGTTGCCCTCCTCTGGACACTTTCTAAGAGATTAGTATCTTTCTTACATTGTGGCACCCAAAACTGCACACAGTATTCAAGGTGAGGTCACACCAGTGCAGAGTAGAGCGGGACAATCCCCTCCCTGGACTGGCTGGTGATGATTTGCCTGATGCTCCTCCAGGACACGGCTGGCCCTCCTGGCTGCCAAGGCACTGCTGACTTACATTCAGCAGTCGACCAGGAGCAGGACCCCCAGATTTTCTGTATGGCTGCTCCCTAGCCTCTCATTCCCTAGTTTGTATGTATATCCAGGGTTCCTCCCATCCTGTTGACAAAAGTCCTCTTTCCTGGATGCCACTTCACCAAGGATCAAGTTATATTTTACAACCTCTCTCCACTTCCATGTGGATGATGTAAATGCATCACATCAATTTCAGATTTCACATCAATTACAGGTTCAGTTTCTGAAATTGATCTGAAACCACAGAGTACAATGTCATGCAGATGCGCACTTCACGTTCAGAAGCTGCCACAACATGCAACCGTTCTTAAAAGCACATTACTGCACAGATATTCCTATAAATATCTTAGACAAGAATTTTGTCTTTCAGATAGGGACAGGGTAGAAATACAGGATCATATCATTACACTGGTTTATCAAAATAATGTGTGTGCATGCACCAAACACATTACACATCACACATACAGCCACAAGGATATGACAACACACTGAAACTTCAGCCACTGCTATAATACAAAATAAAAGTTTATTTAATAATAAACAACATTTTATTTTAAATTTTCATATTTATATAGATTTACATATTTCATATATCTACATCTTATATGCAATATAATACATTCTATTATATTTAATATATTATATCTTAAATATAATTATATAAAATACAGCTTATATAACATAGATTATATAGGGTATACAGATAATGTACTGTATATTATTTAATACATAAAATAAATTATTATATAATCATATATAATGTATCTATTCTACATCATTGTATTTATAATGTATATATTTTCTATATATTAATTTAAATATTAATTTATTTAGTAATAAACCCAGAAACACTACCACTTTTGTCAGGCAGAAGGCGCATCAGGTTTATTTTTTTGTACTTGTCAGTATGGCAAATCTTTCCAACGCATGGGCACATTACATCCCTGAACATAGTCAGAGCTCTTCTGGACTGAAATCCAAGTGTAGGTTAGCCCATTAGGCAAAATGAGGGAATGACCAAATAAATTTTGCAGAAAAATTTTCATCTAAAATCACAGGAACATTTAGGTAACAGATAACTGTTTGAAGAACTCAGAAGAGCTTAATTAATTATTTATCAGGCGACTATAATTGCTGAATCATCTGCAACTTTCTCTTTAAGATATGACAGTAAGCCATTTTCTCATTTTAGGAAATATAAATGTCATGTCAATGAGAAGTCTTCTTAACCGCTCTGTTTAAACATAATACAAACCTGTTCTAGGGTTTCTATTTTGCTGTCTTTGGCTTCCAAAAGCTCTAAAATTCTTCTGTCCTTGACTTCGGCTTTCTGTTTTTCTCTGGAAACAAACAAAAAAACCCAGACACTTTATTAGTCATAATTTGGGGTTAATAATTTGAATTTTTCATGTCCTGATAATGAATGTCATTTTAAAGCACAGAAAATTAAATTATCTGAAGCTGACAGGCCTTGCAGAATTAATCAGGGAGCATATGGCAAGTGACAGCAAATTACATCTGTAAACAGCTAACACAACTTTGTTCAAAAAGAAACAGAAGTAAGAGGTCTTAAAATACATTTTTAAGCAGATGACATTATCTGTCTCATTCTTTCCCAAATGCAGAAAATGTTCAATGGACATAGAATGAGCAAAATGCTTTTTTCTCTTCTTGGCAATGTAGAGTCACTAAACTGCTTGCATTTGTTAAATCCTTCTAGCAGTTAAAAGGCATTTCTCTAAAACAACACTTTTGAACATCATGGATCATTATAAACTTTTACGTGGACAGAATCTATAACTTTCACCAGGATAAAAAAACAAAAAAGACAGCACAAAAGCTTGGGTAACAGGGATAAGCAGAGCCACTCTTATGTGGTTATTAAGTGCAGAGCTATTATCATCTCTGGAACACTTTGTAGGATGTCAGTTGGTAAGTCATTAACACTTTATTTACAAACTACCTCATCTCATGGTTATCCTATTTCTTAACTGAGTTTTAAATATTGATGCCCTCACTGGCTTCTGTTTTAGGCAGAAAGAAAACAAATGTTGCAATAGTAAGGATATTCCAAGATTCCTTGGCACAAGCATATACCTGCAACTAAAGGTCTGAGAAACATAGATTGCCTACAAATGGCCAAATAATTGAGGTAATTCCAAACCCACGGTGACAGAAGTAGGAACTCATTCAGATTATTCGTCTTCTCACAGTACAGTTAAACTTTCATCATGGCTATTATCAGCCATCTATAGAAGCCAGAAAATCCTACTTGTGCAACTTTTGCTCTTCCAAAATGGGAATGTTTCTGAGCTGGAAGTGAATGAAACAGTGGTACATGAATCTGTAAATCTGATCTAAGGTGGATGAAAATATTGAGCTGTACACAAAAGGCTTAATCTGCTGAAGCATTCTGTAACAGTGACCAAAAGGATAGTAGATATATGGAGAACTATTTTTCTTCATTATTATTACCATGTAATCTACTCTTAGTGGTGATTTTAAAGACTAAACTGCACTATCATCACAGGCCCCACAATAACATAGGTTTTTTTCATAAAGTTTTATGACTGCTAAAACATCTAGTCTGATCTCGAGTAAATAAAGAATTAAACAAAAAATGGTACAGAATTTCAAGTGATGTCTTTGGAAACTGAGGTCTCAAGGCAAGGACTTCAAGCAGCACTCTCCTATTGCAAGTCTAACACAGCTGTTGCGTTGTAGGACTTGAGGAAAGCTAAGAAAAACCTACCTGAAAAGACATGCATTTAAGCTACATTTAGTTAGGAGAAATAAAAATATACAGGAAATAGTCTTAAGCAGTTGTATGGTGTTAAAAAAAAATCTTCACAAAGAAAATAATTCAGTCACTGTAATGAGCAAAGAAAAGTCAAACCATGAATATTAAACAAGTATTCCAAAAGACATTTCATGTCTGAAATGTATTTAACATTTTAACTGAGGTAGAATCTTAACAGAAAAATGAACATCAGATCCTGACCTCAAAGCATCTGATCACCTGCAGTCAAAAACATCAAGGAATTGTCATGATAGGTTGCTAGAACACATGAGCAGCAAAATAAGAAGCACTGACTGTTTTTCAGTTTATCTTTGAATACTTCAAAAATGGAACTAAGTAGACTGTGATAACAGAAATCCATTCTGATTTAAATTATGAAATTATCTGATGTATTCCAAAGGTTATGCTGTGCTGTCTCTCAAAAAAAAAAAAAAAAAGGAATGGAGCACAAGAGCCAAAACAACAAACATGATTCTGAACATACCAGTTTATGAACCCATCCACCCTGCTTATAATACCTATCTAGCTAACAGAAGTCACATTCTCAGCAAGATGGTAGACAACTTTCTGATAGCTGTATACTTTGTACTAAAACATAACAGACAATTTTAAAGAGCAGAAGTTAGTAAGGAAAAATGTGTGTGAATACATTATTTGTAAAACACTTATCAAAGAAGTTTGTGCATATACCTGAAACAGACATCTTTTTCATGATAGCTACTATACATTACTCCTCAACTTAGGCGAACCAAACCTGCTCCAGTATAAAAATATCAGTACTTCTTTATACTTAATTACTTTGCTGTGGAGTTCTTAATGGCTATCAGCAAGCACCTTTTCTCAAAGGCAACAGTTTCAGTAATCAGAACCCCAACTATTTTGGGAGGAACGTATTGCTCTCCAATAAGCAAGTTACACCATAATCTAGTTGAGCAAATGATGGACCTATATCAATATATGTCTAAACATAAATATATGTTTATTTATTATAACATTCAGAGTTTCCTCAGGTCTTAAATATAGCTAGACAAATCAAGAATTTAAGATTAGACACATACACAAAACCGGCTGATCCAAAATTCTATGAGCTTCAGATGACACAAAGCAAAGAAAGTCTTTACTACAAATTACTTAGAATAGCAGCATTCAGACACAAGAAGAATCATACCACAAAAGGCACAAACATACAAACCCCATGAACCACCGAACAGCACTGTCTCCAGTTCTCAGAAGTATCCTGACCTTAACTGCTAGCTGGAAAGTCCAAACCATTCTTTGTTCCCAGTGATATATTTCCCTCTCCGTTTTAATTCAGCTGTTTATTAAATCATTGTTCTACCACTCACCCTGTACCTACTACCCACAATATACCATCGTCTTCCCAACTCTGACCATCATCTCCTCTCATAAAGTCAATCTTTCTTACAAGAAGACTCAGTTAAACAACAGTACTGGGTAATCAGCTAGCCTCCTAACTCAACTATGCAATTATCACTTGAGGAGTATTATTAAACTTGTTATCTAATGCACTAATTGATATGAAAATCTGGTCAGTTAGGTAGGCTTCTCAGCCCTAAGGAACTTCACAGTTATGGGGGTGTAATTTTGTTCTTTATTTATTTTTAATTTCTTTAGGAAGAAAGTGAATAAGCCAGCCAAGAACTAAGTAAAGAACAAACTGCTTCAAAAAATAGTATGCACAGCCAATTCTGGTATATTATTGGTAATCAAGAATTTATGGAGCCCTCTGACTTTAGGATATGTTTGCATGAAACTGGTTTGAAGAATAAAGTCTGGGACTGAAAACAAAAAAAAACCCAACAGATCACTGTTAAAGCAAAAAATATGCCTGTAATAGAGACACACACTAGCCAATGGTTCACTAGTTTAATGCAGCATTTTCCACTTTTCTGATACTTAGTCAAACACTATTTGAACAAATATGTCAAGGAACATAGTTTATAAACACAGATAGATCATTACTGTAATAAATGAGAGAAGTTTAAGTAATTTTATTTTTCTGAGTTTTTTTTCCAGACTTCCTAGATAGCACAGGCTATAGTAATGCCACCAAAAACAGTTTCACACGTTACCACCCACAGCTAAAGAGAAAGGTTCTAATTACCACAATATAACCACACAATGGATGTTGTCAGAAGCCTAAAACACAAATTGAAACTTCATATACAACTTTATCAGCAGTTTTTCCTGGAGATATAGGACTGTTTTCCATAACTGCCACAGGATAGTTCCCCATAAGGTAGTATGACTGACTAGAACTTACATATCATATTTGGATCTGCAGTTGCACCTTGAAATGAGACTTGATGGAAACCGCAGCAATCACCTCCTCTTTTTTAGAAGGGTAACAAATATTAAGAAAAAATCTTCAAAGAACTTTATTAATTGAGCTGTTAAGTATTTAAAATATATTTTAAAAAGTCCACTGGAATATGAGGGGGCAGAAATTCAGGCACTGTCAAGAAGCTGATGATGATCAATGACTGAGACAAACTCCTGTTTAGCTAATTAGAATCACTGATGAGCAATAATGATGTGAGCTAAGAATATTTGCAGACTTCTTTAGTATGAAAAATGGAGTGAAGAAAGGCTGTCAATTTGTACAAGTTTTGAGCTCGAATCAGTTTTCTCCTGAGTACTACCTATTTTACATGTTTAAAACAGATGCCTTTAGATACAAAGATTATTGAGATTCAGCTTGCTCCCACAAAAATGAAGAAATTGAGAAAACATTCTTAAGCTTGACATTTTTCCTCTGTTATGATTTTTTTCCCGTGTTAATGCTCTACTTGTTTAAACAGCAGGACAACATTTTTGATGTTCTGCACAATTTTAATGCTTTGTCACAAATAAAACATTAGACTGTGAGAAAATGTTTAACTAAGAATGAGGTACAAAATCATCAAAAACCCTAATATTTTAAAAACCAGAATTTTGTTTAAGTTTCTAAAACAACATTCTTCCTAAAATCTTCACAAAAGCATTACGGGCATAGAGGTATCTTGTATCCTACTACAGGTCTTAGTCAAGTATCTAACCATTTGTTAAGAAAAACTAACTCACAGTCATATATAATTACATCACACATAACCTAAATGAAAATAATTTTAACTAACAAATTTAATTTGCTGTTTACATGTTACATGGAATTCGTCCTTTCAGTTTTACAAACAGTGGGATTAAAAAAACCCAAACCAATCAACCAAAAAAAGTCAAAAACTAAAACACATCTACAAATTTGTCCTTAAACCGAAAGTTAAGGTTACACTGTGAACTGTGGGCAGTATGGTAAAAAGAGAAAAGGCTACATTTTAATAGTATATTCTAACCAAAATAAATTGCTTCCAGAAACAGTGATACTTTTGAAAGATATTTCATTGCTTTTAAAAGGCTACATAACTAGTAAGGCTATAAAATATTAGTTTATCTGATGCAGTTTTAATTTGATTACCTTATCTCCTTGTACTTCAACTTTCAACTATTTTACAGACTTCCAAAACACACACATTCTATGTTTGCATTAAATAGAAATAATCACCCATGTGCAAAGTGAAATTGTAGAGCACAGACTGTCAGTGTTAATGTAAATATGGCACCAATACTGTAATTATTGTGTACAGTCACATCTCTGTGGTTGCACAGTCAGTGGTTAGCAGAAATAGAACCTATGCCTTAATCTTTCATGAAGAAACCTTACTGTGTTTCCATGTATTAAGAAATGCTAAAAAAACTCCAGAGCTAAATAGTCTGCATTTAATCAAGTTTTATTTCACCTCCTAGAAGATCCTTATACTTCATGATGAAGTACAATTGATACACATAATTTTTTTTCTTTTAACACTTACAAATATATTTTTGTATATTTGTGAGGAGCAAAAAGGAATTTAAATAAATACCACATATTTTGCACTTTTCTGTTACTTTCTATAACATAGTTGCACACACCTATTTTTGTTTCTATACAAAAATAATTTAAGATCTAAATAAAATGCATAAAATGAAATTATTTCCTCAGGAAATTATGTGCAGAGCCAGTTCTATGTCTATATATCAAAATGGAAAGGCATCATTACAAAAGTGTTTCTTGCATCTCCAACTTGATTTAATTAATTAGATGATTTATTAAAGCCTCTTATTTTAAGCAACATACATAAAATACTAAACATGTTTTTACATTAAAGGAGTACAGAAAATGGTGACATTTTTGCCTAACAATTTTGCAAACATTTTTCATCTGAAATACACAAGTCTCTTTCAGTGTTCAAAATATCAGCACTTCAGAACAGACTGCTTTAACATCTGCACATCACCAGGGTTTCCCCCAAGGATTTTTAAATGATGCCTGCCTGTGCTGAATAAAGTGCTAACTTGCACCTTGCATTTCAAACTGTGTCCTGAGCAGCCATCCAGTTGGTACAACACCAGCTGAATTCCCAGAGGCTGCTGTTCAATCAGGCTTGACTGCAATTATCATGTCAATATTTTGTGCTCCGATATGCAGATATGCACACATGCAAACTGCATAATATCTTCTTCTCCATGGAATGTTGACTTATGTTCAATGTTCTGAGAATTTTTAATGAAACAGGATATTAAACTTTCATTAACTGTAGAAAATCACAATTATTTGACCTTAGACAGAAAGGTTGTACTCTTATACCCTATTATTCTGTCCACTTTATTGAGTGATAATAACCGGGGAGTCCATTTTACTTTAAATTCAGAGTAACAAAACAGTAATGGCCTTTAAAAATGGTTTGAATCTTGTTTACTTCCTTGTCTTCCTATCATTCTGTTTCCTCTTAATTTGCACAAGAGCAAAATGGTGGTTTCAGAAAACTTCTGCATGATATTTATCAGCCGTTCATAAGATGCAAGATACAGATTTTTAATTATTTTTCAATTGCCACTGGCAATCTATATTGCTCATTCACATCCCACACTTATCCTTTTATATAAAAAGTACTTGCCATTTTCAGTACATCTGCATATTGTCAGTCAGTGAAGAATCTATGTCAACTTGTTTGTTTCTTCCAAAATTTGCTATTTGCAGGATGCTGCAAACCACAGCATAATCTCCTGCAAATACCTTCCCAAAAATTCTTTGGTTATTTATGATCTCTTGATTTTCAGCCACATTTTTGTCCATTTGCCCACCTTTCGATAGATGTAACTCCCCAGGAAGAACAACAATGAAACTCTCAATCACTAGAACTAACATTCAGGTTGCCACTGTTTCTGAAATGATAAATCCATTCTTTCTCTTTTTTAAGACCTGTAAGATACATCACAGTCGAAATTTAGGTGTGGAAAAACATCTATGTAAGGCAAGCTTGCCAAATATAAGTATGTGTAAGGGTGTCACCTAGCATAATACAATCCCCATGTACATCTACAAAGTCTTGAATCACTGTCACAGTTTGATCATTAATGGATGCTGCAACATTCCCTTCTAGAAGAAAGGAAAGGAGTCAAGTAGAATCCCTAGAGGAAAATTACTCTGTTGACTTGTCAAGATCGCATGTACTATAGGAGTGTCTGAAACCAGAGTTCCAAAGTTCGCAAAAATATTTCAAAACCTTTGATACTCTCATCTGAACCCCAATTTCATTTCAGTTCACACATGCATTTGCCTAATAAGAGGTATTTTCTAGCACATTTTTTAAATCATGAAAAAAAAAAAGGCAGTGAACTAGAAATAGTGTGCTCTTTACATAATACTGAGATCAATAGTATTTAAAGTAGCTGGAAAGTATACTAACATGAGTAGTAGTTTTACAATGGCTTGTTTGAAAATACCTGGAGGCTTTTACATATCCCAAAGGCATTTCTCATTTGCACAGTAAAGATAATTTTTTGTTTATATCTGAATACTAAATTGGGAATATAGTTACAGTTATACAACAAGAATTGCAAAGACTGCTGAAAAGTGTATCATTGATGTATTACAGCAATCAGCAGCACAGCCATAAAAAGGTACAAGCTACATTTTTACAATTTTAGGGCAGGTGAACTTCTATTCTGGGACCATGAAAGCATTTTAAAATATCAGAAAAATAATCGCAAGGTACTATTAATTCCCCCTTAATCCCCCAAATTATGCCTTTTACATTTTCCCAGTTTGTTTGGAAAGAGATACTATAAGGAATTGTCTAATACTGCCCACTCGATTCCTCCTAATACATATATTTTTTCTTCATCACACATCTGAGGTATAAGTTGTAAGATTCCATATGAACATTTTGTCCTCTATCTTTTTATTTTTGTCACTGTAATCTCACAAAGAAAGCCTGGTTGTCTCTTTCATCTACTGAAATCTACTGGATGATATTGTTTGATTCTTTATATTTATGAACTAGGATACACATGTCTATGCTTTAGTTGATTGTCTGTTTCCATTCCATATCTGGCTTCTGACCTCAGGTAGTCTCTAACAAAGATTTGGTGGGCACTGAAAGTTTCTCGGTTATGGAATTCTTGGTGGAAAGAACACACTGAGAAATGAAGCTATGCAAATACTGGTGGTATCCATGCCACAAGAAGAAACAACAGAAGGTTGAAATCCATTTTATTCTGTTTGTTTCTATCTCAAAATCTCCCCAAAGGCCAGGACAAGATGGAAAGTATTATCAATTGGGATATGACTGGGTCAGTGTTACTTCTAATACAGATGAGAAAGGAAAAAAGCCGCCAAGACTTAAGCTGGTTTTTTATCAGATTGGAGCACAAATTTTTAATTTCCAGCTCACCTGTTACAAACATGTAAAATACAGTGAAACGGGCTGCAAGAAGCACAGATCTCCCATGTGACATGCTTCCGGAATCATTTTGCTTGTAACTGTTACTTTGTAATCCCATCTCTTAAAACCTTTAAATCCTTTTCCCAGATTAACAAAACCAAAAAGCACTTGTCCTGTAATTTTCTGTTCAGTAGCAGTGCTAGGTAGCAGATTCCTGGAAAGCTTTTCAATGTATTAGAAATGAGACAAACTGACACTAACATAACAACAAAAAAATAATTGTTTATTGCTATAAGGTAAGGAGGAAGATAAAAACTTTTCTGAAAGGATGACAATGTGAAGAGGGTACAGTCATGAAACTGAAGCTACGTAGGCAATTATTATGGAAACTTATAGCTGGAAAAGTTACGAGGATATATGGAGCTGTAATTTGGTTGTGTAGAAGATTCACAGGTAAATCCTGGCTAGAAATTATTTCCAAAGCAGCAGTTAGACTATCTCAGGTAAAAAGAGTTGAAGATACATCAGTTGAAGAGAAAAATGTTGTTCCAACTCTCAAATCAAAGCAACTCTAAATTTCAAAGTTCTGATCAGTAAAACTACTATACACTGAACAGGTTTTATCCAAACCTATTCCAGCATTATCAGGGGTAATGATAACATCTAAAAAGATGCTGTGGAAGCAATTTCTTCTCTCTTAATTCCATAATGTGGAGAAGCATGAGAAAGGTATGATATAGATGTAAGGTCTTGAGTAGTTCTAAGGCACTACTGTTACTCTAAAAAGAGGAGAGGACATTAAAACACGAAATAAGCACCTTAACAGAAGTATGTTTTTAGGCTTTCGTGTACAAGTATCATTCACGAGCCTTTATATGAAGTGCAAAGCTTGTACACAGAATATATCTTTACCTTCATAGATAATAGATCATTATTATACATGAGATTTCTGTAGCAAGCCTTCTGATAAGCTAAACACTACATTAAGATGGTTTCACAAACATTTCCTATCATTGCAAAAAAATTCAGCTCATTATCACGTTTATGTGCATCGAGGTGGTATCTAAGTTTTTCACCCAGAGGGTGGTTGGGTGCTGGAACAGGCTCCCCAGAGAAGCAGTCACAGCGCCAAGCCTGACAGAGTTCAAGAAGCATTTGGCAATGCTCTCAGACACATGGTGTGACTCTTGAGCATGTCCTGCACAGGGCAGGAGCTGGACTCGATGATCCTAATGGGTCCCATCCAACTCCGCATTTCTGTAATTCAATGATAGTTACCTTTTCTGTTACCGGATCTTAGCTTTTCACTTCATCAAGAATTCAGATAAACCTAATTTATATATATAACTGTAATCCAACAAGTTATGACACTGGAAAATATCATTTACCTCCTCCTGCTCTTTCAATAAAAAAACAAAATATGCAGTACATTTATAATTTAAAAATTGTATTCAGCTGCAGCACAGAAAACTCATTGAGAAAAGATTTTGAAGTATGCTTCAGCTGCTACCAAAAAAGAAAACTTGCAACATATTCTAGGCACTTTGGACAAAATTTAACAATTGAACTTTTGTAACACATTTTTAAAACCTACATAGTTCTCACTTAGAGAGATAAAGAATATGGTATCAGCAGAAGAGGTTGGTTGTTGATCTTAGTATCATGTTAAATCTTCAAACTCACCTTTCCGCAGCCAAGCTGACAGCTTGCATAAGCTCTGGACTTGACACTTGCATGTGTTTCCACAGAGACCACAGAAATTCTTTATCAGCCTTAAAAACAAGGAAAAAAAAAGAGATAAAAATATATTACAGGTGTGCTGTGCCTTTTACAGACAAAAAGGTTATACTGAGCATATTAAAAAGAAAATTACTAAACAAACAAACACACAAAACCAAAACCAAAAGCATTGTAGTGAAAATTCCCTACAAGTGACTCACTGTTCTGCGAATGACAAAAACACAGCCAGTAGTTCTACGGAATAAACAAAATTTTAACCATACAGAATTCTGAACACAAATACCTACAATCAACAATAAAAGAGCATACAATGTGACATATGGCAGTAGAAACTGGTATTATTCAAACAAGGTTGCCTTTTGGTATACTTGTAACTGTTGTTTTTAGCAGTCAGACAATTTGTATTACATATTAAGCCTGGAATACATGCTTCAACAATATGTTTTACCACATGCAGCTCTTTGATTTTATTTCAAAATATACAGTAAATCAGTCTTCTAACACACACTCAGCTAACCTGCAGTATATAAAATTTTCTGAAAAACACTCAAGTGAGAGCAAGAAAACAATGTTCTTTAAAAACAGACTCCAGAAAGTTTGTGAAAACTAAATGTCAGATAAAAGCTTTCCGAGATTTATATTTTCTACTACATACTAGTTGTTATATTTCACTGGTGTACTTTTATTCCAATACCATTTTATTACTGGAAGCACCAATATTAGTTATTTTACAATCTAAACCCCTATGTTCATTATATAAAAATGTCAGGGGAGAAAAATAAAAATCAGCAAAAGACGAAGACAAATAGAACAATAAGAAAGCACAGCCTAACATTAAACTGGGGACTAATAAGCCAAAACCATCTATTGGCAGCAAGGTCTATTCAACAGCCAAAAATCATGAGAGTGCAGCTATGTTTACTAGTTTTTTAGAATCATTTACAGTGGCTAAGACATTTATGATCAATGCATCTAATTGCTAACCTAACACTGCCAAGTCCGCCACTAATCCCTAAGTGGGACATCTACATAGTTTTAAATACCTTCAGGGATGGTGACTCTCCAACTTTCCTGGGCAGCCTGTTGCAATGCCTGATAACCCTCTGTGCGAAGAAATTTTTTCTAATATCAAATTCAAATGTTAAAAAACCCCTAGAATTTGCATAAGGACGATACACAATCTATAGGGAAAACCAACACTATTACAGCTATCCATTTATCTACTTCCTTCTTATTCCAATCTTCTGGAACATAATCTAGTAAGATACCACAGATATCATTAGTTAACCAGAACTTCACTAAAATCATCCGAACAAACAGCACAGTACCTCAACTCTGCACAACTATCTTGATTATAAAACGAAACAGAAGACCTGAGTTCCTATCTTCAACTCCACTCTTTAGTTTCTCCATAGGTTTCCTGTTTCTCATTTCTTAAGAACAGATTGCACTTTTGATTACAGTATTGTGAAGCCGTGACTTGAAACACAGCTGAAAGCAATGGTCATCCAAGACACAGAACAGCTCAACACCACTGCAAGTTTGACAAACCTCACAAGAGTCAATAAAAACCACACACTGTATGATTAGAGTGAAACTCAGTAGTAGAAAATGCTTTTTCAATTTGTGCTGTCTTTTTTCTTCATTTGCTCCCAATCAGTTTTGCCTTCTAAGAAGGAAATTTGAACTTTACCAGCAGTACCAATACCAGTGCATAACAAATCACTCCATCGTAGTATTTCTTCAGAACGAGAAAACAGCTATCTTCAATTTAGAATCAAAAGACCTCTCTAAAGCTAGCAGATTTTATGCAGATTTATCAGTTTGCTGAGTCCAAATTATTTTGTCAAGAGTAACATCTCAACAGCCAAACACATCGAATTCTGGATTCAACAAACTTTAAAAATTATTATAGAAATAGAAAAAAAAGTTGCACCTATTTTTCTGTGATTTATGAGGAAAGCTTCAAAGATTTTTTTAAAAGGTTTTTAAAAGTTTTGACATGTTTTTCCATAGAAACGCATATATTTTAATTGCAGAGAAATGAGCTAATGCTGAACATACTAGAAAACATAAGAAAAAATGCTGAGCGAGTGAGAAGTGAGGGGATTCATGACTGTTGATTTAAAAAACAACCTCTTCCTTCAACAATCGCAATTTCTAGTTTACATTTATTTAAAAGTTTAACTGTCATCAACTATTTCAACCAAGCAATGAATGAAACTTTATGGAGATTTGATGCATTATTCAAGTATTGCTGCAAAGTCAGAAAAATTCAACCACCTACTGCAAGAAAGAACATCACCAACAAACCCGACTACCTTTCTGAATGTATTAGAAAGCGAATAAAACAAAGGCTATGGCCACAAAGATCTTGGAATTCAAGACTATTAAAAGCTTACACAGAATGGACTACAACAGAAAGAGTTCCTACTTCATAAAAGCAGAGAAATTTCATCCAACTGCCTTTGGTGGGTTGTGCACAGCTTTTAATATGTTGACATGAAGGCTGCATTTCTTTAATTTCAAAATAAAACCGAACAATTAACAACAACCTTTGTGCTGTTTTTATAACATTTGAAAGGAACGAAATCTCTCTTTAACCAAATCGGGTTAGCAGTGTAAGACCTCTTTTCAAAACCACAAGTGACCCTGCTGTGTGCAAGCAATCCTAACTGGATTATGGTGCACTATGGTGCATGACCACATTCAGTTTTTGAAGAAAGGTAATATGAAAACTAAACCATATACCATATAAATAAGAACTCAAATGACTTTGCATCAGTATCCAGGTCTTTGTTCAGTGCAAGTGCTAAATATAGCTTTCAGCTCAGAATTAAGTTAAAAGGCCAACAGTAAGCATCATATTAATTGGGTTACTCAGTTCAGATGAAAAGACAGTTATTCACCTTTTTTTTCTAACTACAACCTCTCATTGCATGCTATCACCCCATGCAATCAGTGTTCTAAATTTTTATGGCTTTAGTCTGAGAGACAGTAAAAAGTGTGCACTTGTTTCATGTGTCCTCAGAAAAGACACCAACTCCTGAAAATGCCTTGCCATGCCACCTGAAGAGTCACAATGTCTGTACATTGTGAACCAAGCATGGCCTATTACTTCTTTCCAGAATGAAAAATAAAAATGTTTTTCAGATTTGGGAAAACTGCTGTAGGCTTCCAAAAAGCATTAGGATACATACAGAACCTGGATTCTAAGTAATTTTAACATCTAAAAAAAAGCCAGGGGGAGAAAAACAAAATTAAACAAAGCCCAAGCAACAGTGGCCAAACTAAACGTCACTAAATAATAGCAATGGAAATGTGACTTTTTAAAAAATTATTTAGAGTTACATTAAATCAGTAGTTCTTATACTCCAAATGACAATATTTTCAGTATGAGGAAATGTTTGAACAATGACAACCACTAAAAATGAAGCACTATATCTAATTCTAATTTCAAAATAATTTTAATTCAAATTGCTCAGATGACCAGAGATATGGAGAGCAGGCCTGAAGCACAAATAGTGTTTGAGCAATTTCTGTATCTTTAATACAGAATTCACTATGTATTTTATATTAAACTACTTAAAATCACTAACAAATTAGTTTAAGTGCCATGAAATCATTACAGAGAGAGAAGAACCAACATAAAAAAGTGTTAATAGCATTCCACTTGCAAACACTCAAAAATCTTCAGTCAAGCAAACAGTCAAAGTTTCTGATGCCAATTTATGAGCTCATGAGCTCTGTTCAGATCAGTTTTGTTTGCATCTTCAACAAGTTAGATTTAATTATAATCATGCTTCCTTTTAGCTTTCTCCTTTACTGTCCTGTATACTGGACCGTGGGAGTAGCTGCTAGGTTTTCTGCTTATATTTTTGTATATTAGAGGAGCTGAGACACTTGGCTTCTCTATGACTGCAAGAAGTACTATCAAATACCATGAGATTCCCTACAAGCAGCAGTGTCTGCTTGTTGTACTACCCTGCGGGCTCCTATACAGTTCAATTCCCAGCTAGGAAATGGTTCGAGGCATTGCAAGAACACAGAATAGCACACAACTTTCAGACACTTCTACACTTAGTTCTAAGCATAGTATTCTTCTACCACCAAAAAAAAAAAACCAACCAACCAACCAAACAAACAAAAACAAACAAAAAACCCCCAACACAAACACCACACCCACACACAAAAAAATCCAAAAAACCCCACAACAACAAAAAGGAAAACTGTGTTAGTATATACTGAATTTTTCTTAATGGACAATATGTATATATGTACAATACAGGAAGAGGGAAGCGTTTGCATCTCTGCCATAATTTTTGCTGAGCATCAAGCACGTATTTAATCTCTCACAATCACCTTTCTACCTAAACCTTGCCAAACCTCCCAGAAACGATAAATTTAAAAGATAAATTTAAAATACAAAGTTTCAGTGAACATTCCTAATGACAAGATAAACACTCAGGTACAAACAATCTTTTTTAACTGAATAAGCAGTTTGGTTTAACCTCTAATCACCTGTAAATTCCACAACATTTCTGTCTGTGCTAAAAGAACAGTGATAAAACAAGATTAAAAAACTGATACTAACTTGAAAATCACAAAAAAAAATCTTCCTTGCAGTAAAGAATACTGAATGTGCACCAAACAAAGTTAAAAGAAACAGCTATACAGAACAGACTAAGTAGTGTCCATTAAATAATAAAGACCTAACAACAACAATCACCACAAAACACACACAAAAGCCTTCACAATGCTATGGAAATACGTTAAAAGCCACCGGAATTTCCAAAACTGCAAACCAATGCTATTTCAATACATGTTGTTTATTTTTGATGGTGACAGGAACTGGCACTAAAGGTTACTACAGCAACCTGAGAACAAGCACAAACAGAACTATAAAGCAATATTGTAATTACATCACCAGATATTCTAATTTAAATCATGAAAAGCTATGTACTTGATATATACTTGAATTTTTGTAAAGGTACACAAAACTAAGCAGCATAGTCCACTAATTAAGTGGACT